AGGACAAAATCTTAGGAATATGTCAGTTCAAGTCTCATTAGGTCTGAAACATACAAAAATGCAGCTTACGCCAAATAGTTTTTTGAGAACACACATTTGTTCATCACGATATCAGAAGTCACGAAAATTGAGTATAAAATTACTCACTCCAGGAGGTATTTCCTCTCAAAACATTAAAGATCGGTTGGACGAGGTGTATGGCCAAAAATCACCGACATATTCTGTGATGAAGGAGTGGTCAAAACGGTTTCGAATGGGCCTGAAATCGTTGGAAGATGATCTAGAACAGGAAGGCCCATGGAAGTGTTAACGGACAACAATATTGGTCTTGTTGAGGATCTCGTATTAGATGATCGACGCTTGAAGGTGAAAGAAATAGCACAAAAGTCGAGGCTCTCAGATACAACCGTTCGCCGAATCGTCCATGATCATTTAGGCATGAATAAAATTAATGCAATGTGAGTTCCTAAATATCTCCCAGCAATTCAGCGCCAGCGTCGTGTTGAATCTGCTCAGTCTTTTTTGGAGCTCTGTGGAGAAAATCCTGTGGACGCACCGAAGACAAATGTCACAGGGCATGAAACTATGGTTCTGTATTAAGAGCCTCTGTACAAAAGAGAGTCGATGGAATGGAGATGAAAAGGAGAAGCACCACCAAGAAAGTTCAGAGTCTGTCAGTCGACAAAAAAGGTGATGCCTACCATCTTTTGGGATTCTTCTTACAGATTTTAAAGAACGCAACACCACAGTTAATGCGACATATTACGTAGCACTTGTGCGTAAATTACGCCAAAATATTCGAGACTCCAGGCGTGGAAAACTCACTAGAAAGATGGTGTGCTGCACAACAATGCATCCGTGCACTCTGCTGCAATTACGCAAGACGCAATTCGTAATTGAACTTTTCAACAAATCGATCACCCTCCTTATAGCCAAGATATGACCTCCAGTGACTATTACCTGTTTAAAAAATTTAAAAAAACCTTCGAGGATGCCATTTTGGAGACGACGAAGAGGTGAAGTCTGCAGTTTCAGCACATTTTGGGACCAAGCCGAAAGAATATTTTTTTAAATGTATTGAATTGTTGCTGAAACGATCTAATAAGTGCATTGATGTCAGGGAGGACTACATTGAAAAATAAAATTTAATTGTAAGTCTACGCCGTTTCTTTCATAGCCAGGCCGGGAATTTCTGGCGCTACCCTCGTATGAGCAAAATAAAAATTGGAGAAAAGTAATATATAACGCTGAGTCCAAATTTGATGTCTGGGTGAGATAATAGTCGAAAAAGAGTTATTGAAATAAAAAAGGAATTTTGATATGGATTATCTCAAACAAAGAGTCATGTTTGCAAGCAGAAAAATGGTTTGGGGGTGCATGTCTATTAACAGAATTTAAAGACCAGTTAACAACGTTGATGGAAGGGAAATTACAAATTCAAACAAATATCAAGAGACTTTGTAAAAAAATATTAACAACTACTGCAGCAGTCTATCCTGTTGATATTTATATTTTTCAACAGGATGATGCTTCAAGTTACACACCTACAACACTTATTACAAAGAATAATAATATAAATGTTTGCCCTGATCATCGAATAGCCCAGATCCTAATCTAGTAGAGACGGTATGGCGTGAAATAAAAAAATATTTAGGAAATCATCCATCACAAACGATTCTCAATCTTCAACGGGAAATTTAGCGAGTGTAGCATACGGTAACAACTCCTGTGTATTGTAGAAAATTAGTTGAAAGTATGATGGCAAGAACTCCTGCAGTTATTAAGGCAAAAGGAGATATGACCAGTTACTGAATTTGCTGTGTCCCAATATTTATGTGTCACAAAATGTTACGTTGTTTTAGAGTTTTATGTCACTGTTTGAGTTAGAAATCAGTTTTTGTTGTGCTGTAAACATTAACAGTTTTGCAAAACGAATTAATTTTAAAATTTTAATTATCTAAAATAAATTACATTTTTGTTAAAAAGTTTGGTGATTTTTTTATAAAAATTTTTTGGTGTCCCAATATTTAGTTGTTAGGGCTCGTATATTTCCGAAGTAGAATTTTCCAGAGACCTAATACTGGATAAACTTAAAAAATTAAAAATCTCGAAATCCCGGGCCCAGACTTCGTTACGGCCAATGTATTAAAGAATTGCGCGGAGTCTCTTTCCACCCCGCTTATGATTTTAATGGAGCAATCGTTTAAGTCAGGTTCTCTTCCCTCCGAATGGAAGACGGCAATTGTACGCCCGATCTTTAAGAAAGGAGACAAATTTGATGCTTCGAACTATAGACCAGTAAGTTTAACTTCGCTTGTGGTGAAAGTTTTTATGATCAGGTAATGAAGTTTCTACTGGAACAAGATCTCGTCCCAGATGAACAGCACGGCTTTCTGCCAGGGAGGTCGGTTCAAACAAACCTCCTCTGCTGTTTATCGGAGTGGACCAAAAGCTTTGATTCTGAACGAGCATTAGACATCATATACCTGGATTTCTCTAAGGCGTTTGATAACGTGCCAAAACTACGTCTCCTACATAAGTTAAATCGGCTTGGCTTACGTGGTAGTCTGTTGAGGTGGATTGGCTCGTTTTTAAGCGACCGAACTTTTCGCGTTAAAGTTGGGGATGCATTCAGCAGATATGTTGATGTCGTAAGTGGCGTACCGCAAGGCTCTGTGCTGGGTCCATTACTTTTCATTGCCTATACAGCTGACATCAAAGGAATTATATCATCCTCCTTCGCCATGTATGCTGACGACATTAAATTATATAATAGCTGCGATAAATTCCCTTCGTTAATTAAATATTTACAAGCTGTATATGATTGGTCTCGTAACTGGTTACTTCCATTAAATTTTGATAAGTGCAAAGTCTTACATATTGGTAATAAAAACCCGAGACACCCCTACTACATTGGAAACACGCAGATATCCGTAACGGAATCTCACATCGACCTGGGCGTTCTCGTTACCTCCGATATTTCTTGGAGTGAGCATATTTTGCGTGTCACCAAGAGAGCTAATTCGATGCTTTATCTGTTAAGTAAAGTGTTTGCCAAAGCTAGTCCATCCATATTTGGAAAACTTTTTAAAACATTCGTGAGACCGTTACTGGAATTTGCCAACACTGCCTGGGTTCCTGTTTGAAAACGAGATATCGCACGCTTGGAGCTGGTACAGCGTAGGGCAACCAGAATTCCTTTTGGTAGAAACCGACCTTCGTATTGTGGTAGGCAATGAAACTTTGCCCTCTTTCTAACAGACGCAAACGTGGGGATTTAATAATCACTTATCAAGCTCTAAGTAATGCTCTTTCTCCAATTAAACAATTATTTACTCTTAATCTTTCGAAACGTACTAGAAGACATCCCCTTAAATTACTTAAGGAAAACTTTCATACAACGGTTAGACAAACATTTTTGTCAAACAGAGTTTTTCATGATTGGAATGCACTACCCCAAGAAGTTGTATTAGCGAAGTCTACCTTAATATTTAAATCCAAATATGATACTTATTGTACTAACTAAAGAGTAATACTGTCACCCCATCACTTGATGTTAGCGCGGGCACAACAGGCCACGCCTCTGCCCGGTCGCTTCTCCAATAATAATAATAATAATAATATTTTTTAATCTTGGGTTTAGTTAATTGTTCGTGACATATTTAATCGATTTCGTATGTTTGACTCTTCTGGTTTCATAGTACGTCTGGGATCAATGCAAACTTTGCCATCTACATAAGTTTTTCAAGGAAGTGACACATACTGCCATCTAGTGAAATTTACAGGTTTGGAACAGCAATAACAAACTGAGTGAGTACATTGTGCCATTAATAAAAACAAAAAAAAAATGCTTGAATTGTAGATGGTGATGTTGATAACATTACATTTTAAGCTTAAATAAATGTGACAACTTACAGAACTGTTAACAAAATTGAATTTCTCTTCTATAGTGAAACTCAGTACACTTGCATATATAGTGTGATTTTAGTTTCCGATTAATTTTTACTCACATAATGAAATCTTTATCAAATTTACATGTGCATCATTTTGTCTTCAGATTTCTAAATTATCTATCAAACGCTTTTATACCTTTGTCCTCTAGCTAACAGATGGCGCTACCTACTTCAAACATGCAATAAAATTGCCCGTTACAATTGCCGGTGACTAGAACACTATTACCACACTGTCTTTTTTTCTGACACCCTGAACTTTTTTTGTATAGCAGGAATTTTGTAAAAACTCGTTGAATGTTATTTTCCGGCAACAAAACCTTCCCTTCTGAACTAAAGCGACCGCATCAAAACTTTGCTGAGATCAGCTGATTTAACGTCGAAGAGGGAAAGAGACGCTTTCGGGGTTAGATGACTCACTCAGCTCCCAGGGTAATCCATCACTGTCAAACACCTTATTTCCAATATACCGTTCTATGATTTGCACTATGTATATTTCTCATCAATTCAATGAGCTCCAATTCCGATGTGCCCTCGCTCGACTTTGATCCAGCTTTTTATTTTAATTATTTATGTAGATTGAGTTACGAAGGGGTTTGCTGGACTTTATACAGATTTGGGTGTTTGAGGATAGTCGAAACTTTCAAAAAATCAAACACGTAAAGCTACATTCGTATATTTTCGAATCAAAATGCTAAAGTGTACCAATGTGTCTCTAACTGTACAATATTAGTATTACATTTAGTTGCAAATATTTACATTCAACAACAAACTACTCTCTTCTCTAAAATTGTACATACATTTACGTTAATAATGAGAATTCCGGCAGAAGTCGTGCGAAGAAATTACTGAAAAAATACAATACTGAATTTGATTGTTAACATTTTTGATTATTTCAAACGATAAATTTAGATTGTCTAAATCTTCGTAAATGGCTAGTTAAAAGCGCATTTTATTCATAAAGTGTATACATTTAACGTGAACAATTAAAATATATAAATGTCGATAGAACAGAAAAACCAAACGACGTTAAAAATAAAAAATCACATGATTCACATATTAACAGTAAAAATTAACAGTATACAGGGTTGTCCATTGCACAAAGTCAAATCTGATAGTACTCCGGCGTGTAGTCGTTAGCCAGATTACTTAAAAAATTAAAGTCCGACGAACTATTACTGTTTTCACCGGTAGGCGCTACTTGATTTTGTGAAGACTCACTGGAATAGAACTGATGAAACGAATTGTAATTGTCACTAGATTCAGTCTGTACACTCGCAGGGGGCGTCATTATCGCCGGATTGTTCGTACTGGGGAATACTTCGGGGCTAATGTAATTGGGATCACTATTCGACATCTGCTGGTTAGCGTTGTAGTGGTTATTTTCGTAGTAGCCCACTTTGTTAGGATACTCTTGGTTTTTTTGTAAATGCATGTTCTCGTTCTGGTAGTACCCCGCAGCTGTCTCATGTCCCATGTGAACCGAGTTCGGCAGATGTGCCACGTTCTCTGAACCATCGTTGGGATAAATATTAGAGTGGTACCCGTAATGGTTGTAGTTGGGATGATCACTTTGGTAACCTTGTACGTAATTCTGGTGGTTTAATGCATAACCTTCGTTTGTTCCGTGATTTTTGTTGTAGTAATACTGCTGCTGGTTGGGATAGCTGGGGTAAGATTGTCTCCCCCTCCCCGCCATTCTTGTAGTCATATCCCGACTTACTCCGTGGGACATTTGGCTAGAATGGTTCGAGTTTCGAAGATACGGCTGTCCTTCGTTAACCGTCGGATGCTCGGGGTTGTACATTTCTCCAGGATATAAATTCTGGGTCATCTGGAAGTGCTGCTGGGAATGTTTCGTTCTATCTCCCCTATACTCTTGATTGTTCATTTGGTACTGATTCGGAAAGTGTGGCATGGACCCTCTAGACGCAAAAGGAGGGATCGAATTCCCCACGTTCTGGATTGTGACAGTGGCAGAAGCTATAGCGGTTGCCGTTGTAGGTGAAGATCTCTGTAGATGTGAGTACATGATGTTCGAAGCCATTCCTAGAGGACTCGGGTGAACGTTCCCGCTGGGTACAGACGCACCCTTTGGTGACATCTTCACGGACACAGCTTCCGCAGAGTTAACACTTTCCTTGTTGTTGATTGGTGAAATTTTACTCATTCCGATTTTCCGGTCGCAGGAGTTTGGTGAGTTCCTGCGATTCTCCACTTTAACGGTGACAGAATTAGAAGAAGATCCTTTTTTCGATATCCGCGGGGAAGTGTGCGAACTGTCTTCGTTCGACCTCGAATCTTCCTCAGCTATGAGTTTGTCAAAAGGACTCGAACTCCCTACACTACTAGCTCCATTACTATTATTATTAAAATTAGTGTTATTGTTTGTAGCACTCGGCGTATTGTTATTGTTGCCTCTCGTCGAACTGATGTCGGGAATTTCCTCGTGGGAGCCACACAGTCCGGCTGAGGGCATTTCGCACCCCTGACAACTTTTCTTCGACATTTCGTCGTCGAGAAACTTGTCGGACGACAACTTTCCGTTTTTGCCACCATCACTGTTGATGGAGTCCTTGTCGTCCCCGTCTTCTCCTTGCTTTCCCAGGGTTTGCCTCTTGTGTTTCATGCGTCGGTTTTGGAACCACACTTTCACCTGTAAAACGAGTACTGTATAAGCGTTTCTGACGCAAGTAGATCGTGTACCTGTCGCTCTGTCAAATCTAAAGAAGCGGCTATCTCTATTCTTCTAGGACGACACAGATACTTGTTAAAGTGAAACTCCTTTTCTAGTTCTAATAGTTGCGTGTTGGTGTACGCTGTCCTTAACCTGCGTGGAAGTCCGTTTTCTGGAAAAAACAGATCGTCTTTAATATGTGAGATGATTTGAGCGGAATAGTAATTGTGAAACTTTTGATACGTTTCCTATTTCCGAATAACTTTGTCGACATCTGTCACCATCAGGTGGAATTTAATATCAAACTATCTCCTTTCGACGGTTTCGTTCAAAGACTATAAATCAGCGTACGGAATTGTTGTAATTACTCGTTGTTTCATTATTATTGATCCACATTTAGAAATTACAACGATAAAATCAATTTTAATAGCTCCGTAATTTAACAAGATTACGACTATCGATTGTAAACTACCTGTGGAACTTGTTTAACGATGTTAAAAATAGCCCGTTTTTTAGATTTTTGGTTCAAGTTAAAATTACAGACAAGATTAAGTGCCGGACGGACTATTATTACAAGTAGCAGCCGATGCTCTTCATTTACTCTCTATGATCAAAATCCACTTAAGTCGCCATTACTCATTAGAATCGCCATTGCACGCAAAAGTAATGACGGGCTTGCGAACACATTACATTTCACAATAGTTGTAGTATAAATAGACTAACCGACAGCACTATCACATCAATTTCATAGTGTTTGAGTACATAAAAAAATGGATATCAGTGAATCCTCTGTCATGGACTTGAAAATCATGTAATGTTCAGGACAGTTATTATAGAAATTGTTGTAATTGAAATAATGACACAGTAGCATTGTAAACAACAATGGATGCTTCCAATTGTTAAACAGAAATGTATGCCTGTGGGAAATTTAAATACAAAAAACAATTATAAAAATAACAAAGATTTTCTGTGTCAAATGGAGGTATTTTCAACAATATATAATAATACAAAAATTATATTGTTTGGTCGGCGTCGCCCTTGGATCTTAATGCGTTTCATATTTAGTTTTTATTTGCATAATTATAAAAAATGGCGTCGCATGTTTTGTTTGCTGATTTTTTTTGAATGAAGGATAACGTAAATGACTGCTCTAATAATATCAGTCAGACGCGTCTCTGTGCTTCTTACTTAACACATGGTGGTTGTTGAAACAATGGTGTCATTTCGTTTAAGCGACGATAGAAGAGGAAGTGACCAAATCGACCTACGAAAACAAGAATACGTCCGGACGCTATTTTAAAATTAGGATTGTGTAAAACGACGAACAGCGCTGGAACTATCAAAAACAAACTTATTATTATGTTTAAAAATAAAAATAATAAAGTATAAATGTGTTCATGTTTCGTCTTAATAAATCAGACGTAGGTTGTTAATTCAACTTTTAAATGTCACCTGTGGAACTCAAGTAAAGTTTGCATTTTTATATTGTTGTTTTTAAACTTCTCTAAGATTGCAGTGTCATTAGTCTGTTCAAAGTAGATATTTCTGTTTACATTATACTCGTACTATAGTTAGAACGGGTAATATTATATTAATCTGGTTTTAAACTAGGTCGACTGACTAAGTTCATAGTGTTAAACCAATATAGAGTAGCTATAGTCCTAAGTTCATTAAATATTATTTTTAGAGGGCTACTATAATACTATAGTAGGTACACTGTTTCTAAAATAAGATTATAATTTTTAATTATTTTTGCTTGTAGATTTAAAGAATGTAGTAAATTTATGTCCCGGAATTTTTATATTGACAAATTCAGACAAAAAAAACTGGTCTAAGGTTATTTAGACAGATTGAGACTAAATTCTCTCTTCTCTGATGTATATTGCAACAAATCTAGCTTGAATTTCATTTTTTTTTATGATGACCCCTATGAGTTAAAGTAAAGATATGTGTGTTGTCTTAAATTGCAGCTAAAGAAACATGCTATGCATATGCCTCAAGTGAGTTTCTCTGCTATAATCAATTTTGTGATAACGTCTTTAACATTTTAACAAGGCGACATATGTTACAGTTTCTGTGTTAAATTGTAAAATGTGATTTTATAAGTTTGATTTTTTCCCAAAAATTTGGATACCTAGGGTAAAAACTCGACACGAATTCATAAATCACAATTATATGAATATGTTATTTTATCAAATTTAAATAGTATTTACTATGCAAACTTTTGACGTGACTTATTAAATTGTTCATATAATATTAATACATATAAAATTTCACAGCAATCAATGAGATAATTTCTCTAATAAAATCAACGCAGACAACAGACAGACAGACAGACAGACAGACAGACAGACAGAAAAACAGACCAGGCTACGCTCGGGAAGTAAAAATTGTTCCAAAGTTATTTATATACAATTTCGCTCACTTTGCCATTACATGCAGAATTCTGGAAAATCAAGTAAAGCATTTTTGGTTTAAACAGTGGAAATAATTGCTTAATTTATTTTTTTGGGACATCCTGTATGTAGAATTGAAAAAAAAATATATGTATACTATTAAAATTAATACAGAAGCCATGCATGGGCACTTCATAAATTTCAAGAGAGTTTCATTTAACAAAATTTGAGATGACGTCATTAAATCTGTGAAATGTTTTGTAGTTTTTAAATTGAATTGTGAAAATATATAATTTGATTTTTAAATGACAGGTACACATGCATATAATTTTGCACATTTTAGCTACTAAATATTTGACAAATTTTACTGCTGATTTTATCATTTGCATGACATTAAAATACATTTAAAATTCCACAACAATCAGTTTAGTAGTTTCGAAGATTACTTTTTTAGTTAAATCGCCAAAAGACAGACGACAGATGGAAACGGATTCCTACTTTTTCATGTTCGAGGAATTGTGAAATCTCAAGGAAAAATATTCCATTTTAGCGATAATTGTACATGGTCTTGGTATGGTACTGATGAATTCTTAGAAAATTATCTTTATCGTGTGCCGAAATTTTGGAAGTAAATAATATCCTTAAAAATGTGAAAAAAGCGTTTTTTTCTAACTAATACTCTAACACATCGATTTAATTTTTTTCATTCAGTTTTAATATAGTTTTATTGGATACTACGGCAACTTTTTCTTCAGAGAGGTAATACCGATTTTAGAAAAATTATAAGTTGCAGCCAAAGGGATAAAAAACGCTTTCTACACCTGACCGATTTTATAATATATACATAACAATTTCTTTACTGTTAAAGCTAAACGAATATTTTAGTTACCTATAGTTTTTCATAGACTTAAAAAATATCTTAAAATTATTTCATCACTATTTAATCTTTAGTAATTATTAATTTGGGCAAGATAAAAAATTAGATAGGTATATGTTAGGGTGAGTCGGCTAAAAGAGGAACCTCCTATAACTTTTTTATTTATGAACCTATGGTAGTGGAATTTAGTTTGTATGAGTTCTATGTAGGTATGCACCACTTCATTAACATGAATTAATTGACAGAAAGTTAAATAATTAAAAAAAAATCGTCATTTTTTTTAACTTATGTAAATTTTTATGTTACTATAAACTTGGCAGAAAAATAGTCAGTAAAGTCCAACTCTCAACTCATGAAATTATTTCACTTCTTATGCTTTTCTGAACATTACAAATTAATATTTTTTTTTAAGAAAAATTACAATAATTTACGAATAGTCAAATAGTGAAGCCATTAAAGCTATTTTTTTACATTTTTTTGAAATAAGAAAAACTGCAAAATCTCAAAAATAATAAAATGGTAAATAGTATATCTACAACATACCTACTTTTTTCCGTTGCTTTTTTTAAAGCAGTGAATTTATGTATGCACTCGAGTTGTTATTCTTCATTTGCAAATTTATTATCATTACTTTTGGCTAATAAATAAAAAAGTTGTTCGAAATGCCCCTTTTAGCTGATTCACCCTGTATATTATTTTTGTATCCTTTGTCTATTGACATAATCCATTTTTGCACACTTTTTTCTTCCTCCAGTTTAGATTACATTTGTATTTTCTACTATTCTGATTTATATTTCAATTTTCTACAAAAAGAGATGTCTTAATTAAATGTTGATGATGCTAGTCATTACGGTGTTTTGCGACCGCAGGGAACAGAAATAATCAAGAAGTGAATTCTATGAGTTATGTTGACATTAAAAATTTAACATTTTCACCTTCACTTGTCAGTAAACTCCGTTTTTACGTATGTCGACATTTCCAAAAATAAACAAGCGGTTTTCCGATAAACATAATTCGAGACACTTGTACAGCAAATCAAAAAATTTTGAACAAAGAAAAAAGCGTGTCATTCGATTTTGACAACTTCGTGTCGGCATTTATTTTCGTTAGCAATTTACCTTAGTAATTATTATAAATAAATGATGCGATTCTTTCATTTAATATCTTCCAGATATTAATAGCATGTGGGGCTCTTCCATCCATAATGAACGAGGGTAAGTCGATAAATCGATTAACCTAATGTATAAAAACCCCCATATATGTGGCAACGAAATAGCTGCACGAGATTTCGTTAGCTTCGATCGTTGCAGTATTCAATTAGGATTAAGTCTAAAAAACAAGATCACGCAAAATTGAAGTTATTTAAAACGGTTTTAAAATCGTTTAAAATGTGAATTAAATTTCACCCTCTTCCGAAGTAGGCACCTACACATTTCCATTTAATTTTTATACGAAGTATTAAAACCGTAAACGGGGAATAAAAATATTCCAATACATTGCCGAGTTGGGGGTTTTGAAAACTGAACACTAGGGGAGGCGCGTGCAAAACTTTTTGATTGACAGCTGCGTCTGTCCAATCGCAACGGCGGAATACTGATGAGGAATACGTCAATCACGTACACTACCTCGCTCTGTACACCAGACGAACGAGAACGAGAACGAGAATTCGAATGCCTTCGAGCCGCTGCCCGCTTATTATATTAAAATCCGGTTTTTCTAACCGACGATTCTTGAGTATCTAAATATTATTTATTCTTATTTTCAAATTATATTGTTGTTGTTTAATTCGCGCTTTAGGACTGAGTTAAATTTTTTTTGATGCGCCAAAATATTCAATGTCGGATAATAAAATTCAAATTGTGACGTTCAGTTTATACAAGGTGGTTGGTTTTTCTTTCT